CCACTAGAGTATAGTGTATATGGTCATGTATATAATTATATTAGTTTTGTGGTCTATATGCATTTTAGGTGAGGGTCAGGTTAGGGTTAGCGATATCAATCATCTAATCATTGAAGTAATAACCCATTATTATTAGATCATCTAATTCTTAATGATATCAACGAGTCCTCAATGGAGCGTTAGTCTATCATTACTCACGATCTGCAGGAACACATGAAGATGAAACGAGACGTGTCCAAACCCTATGACCACTAGTCACCTCACCAACCGTCAGCTTTCATAGAATGACCATTGTCGCTGTCATATAGGCGTTACATGCCTTTATGCTTTTATGTGCGTTATAGCGAGCGATATATGCTTTTATTTTAATATGAGTAGGTTTTAATGTGGATTAATTCATGTGATTGATCGTTAATTTCGATGATTATTAATGACAGGAAATAGTAGCTGGCGCCACGCGTCCGACATTTTGTCTCGCGTTTTTTCAACGGCAATCTATATGAATCCAATATCCGTATGGCGAGTAGGCTGTGTAGCTTAGCGGGGAGGCAATTTACTCCCTTACACAGACCGCCATGTCGCACGCCACGCCCGGCGCTCACGCACACAGCGAGAGAGAGAAGAGAGACGAGAGAGAGGAGTGACGAGAGAGAAAGGAGCAGAGAGGTGAGAGAGAGAGAGAGAAGAGAGAGGAAGAGAGCAGAGACGATGAAAGAGAGAGAGAAGGAGCGCAGCCGAGAGAGAGAGAGAGAGAGAGAAAATGAGAGGAGAGAGAGAGAGATGCGAGAGAGAGAGAGAGAGAAGAGAGAGGAGTAGAGAGAGAGAGAGAGAGAGAGAGAGTAACGAGAGTAGAGAGAGGAGAGAGAGAGAGAGAAGAGAGAGAGCGCGTAGAGAAAGAGAGAGAGAGGCGAGAAGAGCATGAGAGAGAGAGAGAGCGAAGAGAGTAGAGAGAGAGAGAGAGGAGAGAGTAAGAGAGAGAGGAGAGAGGAGAGAGAGAGAGAGAGAGAGAGAGATAGAGAGAGAGAGAGAGAACGCTGTCCTACGGTCTTCTGTCCCGAAGAACCAGCAAACCCTCATGTGGCTTTATCACCCACCGCGCATGCCCCCCTCTCCACTTCTCTTCTTATGGGAAAGATTGAAGTTTCATCTACAGCCCCCGCATGGCGCACACTCGCTACAGCTTATCCTATGAAACTCGACATAGGGGACCTGTGCACCGGATAGCTACATACGAAATACAACACATGTTGCAGAAGAGGCTGAGTGAAGGCTGATAGACTAGACTTTTGTTATAGTTACTATAGAGGCTGGGAAAATCTATAAGATCAATCCAGACGAAAACGATTTGTTAGGATTCGCAAAAAATAACCTGGTTCCAAACTTGAATGGGGTTTCCCAGGAACGGGTGTATGATAAGAGGTTATACAGCGTTCCCGCTAGTGCGTACGATGTACGTGCGTTATGGCCAAGCTAGCGGTGGTCGAGTTGATGTAGGGAGACCCGGCCGCTGGTATCAGCGGAACACGGTGCAAAGTGGAATTGTCCTCCGCCACATCTATGTTGATGCCCCATCATCTGTGCACTAGTTTTCATTAGCACCGCTCAGTTCTGATGATGGCATCGTGTTTCTGATGGATGCCATGGCATGAATCAGCTATGTACAGTTTTTTTGGACCGAAAGTCCTGTTTTTTATCGTTTGAAAAATCTCTCCACCCAACATCACACCTGCTAAACCCCTCACCTGTGATCCTCTGTGGAATCTCTCTGCTAGGCCTACTTTTGTTGAATCTAGGCCTGATCGTTGCCATATGCCACTGCATGACACTCTATTGCGAGCTTTCTGATCCCCAGCCGTACGACGCCACAATGTCTAAAACTATCATCCTGTTCCGGCGGCAAAGTGGATGCGCGGCCAAAGTTGGTCAGGCTTCCACTTTGCCCCGGCCATACTTTGATAGGCCCTACATGTAAGTATCATCTATTATCAGACCGTTATTTAATATGATCTGCAGATAGTACTCTCAGCTAGTAGGGGGCCTATGTCTGTCTTCTGCAGTCGATTTGTACACCGCTACCCTCGTAACGATTAGGCCATACACTGTGTCTTCCCAGACTTGCAAGTCTATTGTAAAGCGTTCCACTAATGGCCATTTCTTCTGTTATTTTACGGCAAATGGTCGACCACTATGAGTTGATGTTCAGAGGTTAGACCAGCGCTGAATTATTTCGAGCACTGATATATATATCCGTTTAAGCAACGTTAACCGTAAACCCTTCATGTAGTACTTACTACTGTAGTACTAGTTGTACATAGTAGTTGTGGCATTTCCATTCACATACTCCAATTGGGGAAAAAACACAAAATGCTTACTCATCTCGACGCACAACCTGTGTCTGTCTCCAATCAACCGTTTCATGACGCCCGACAGATGTGTGAAGATGTGAGTCAGCGCGCGCAAGCGGATGAGTTTTTGCCGCGGGCGTGGAAGGTGCCACTTGCCCCCCTCCCCCCTCCCCCCGGTTGTCTCTCTTGAGTAGTTATGTCGCGATGATCGATTATATTAATCAAGTCAGTCGTTCGCAGAAACCGACTAAGCGCTCGATTATGAAAATAAATAGGGCCTATTCGGTTATCAAAATCATTTTTTTAATTCAATAAAATTTGCAAACCTTCATGAAATGACTCTTTATTTTATTTGTGTGTGTTTATTTTGGTTATATATATAAACAGCTCGGAGACAGTAAATCGAACCTAAACCAAACATGAGCATGTATAATACTATTACGTAGCTTTTAGAATATTGTATTTTAAACCGATTATATCATCGATCGGTTCATGGGTGCATGCAGCTGATGATCGATGATGAAATTCCAACCGATTCTGATCGCTACCAGGGTATTATTCAGGAATGAGTATCTGTAGGAGTGCAGAAAAAATATTTGGGAGTGCAATTTTTTGTACGTGTGTCTCGGCCGTAATATTTTAGGCCGTGCTACACATTTTGTTTCAAAACTGACCGTGCAAATCACGGCTGCACGGCTCGCTGGCTAATATGTTGACCACTACTCTTCAGTACGTGCGCGCGGCGGCCGCTGCGCCCTGGGCCCGCCTCCTCTCCACCGTCCAGAAGCCTGACCTCGGCTACGGGACGGAGGGGGAGGCGGAGGCGGAGAGACGGCAGGAGGAGGAGCCGGTGGCGGAGGACGACACAGCCAGCAGCCCCGTGTGCTCCTACAACGAGTGGGATCCCCTCGAGGAGGTCATCGTGGGTCACGTAGATGGCGCCTGCGTGCCGGAGTTCACCGTCGAGGTCAAGGTAGGCGAGCGAACGCGGAGTTTCGATCGCCGGGCCGGGCTTGGTGAAGTTACATGTATGTGTGTTTGTTTGCGTGCGTGCGTGCGTGCGTGTCCATGTACGCGCGTGTGTGCGTGCATGTACGCACGCGCGTGGGTGTCACTGTGTGTGTGTGTGTGTGCGTAAATCTGAAATAAATGCAAAGCTCAAATTAGCATGTATTGTAAACGAGTAAGAAATACCACGATATAATAACTGTGGTTAAAATCGTATTATTCGCAACGCAAGAGTGCGTTTAAGGGTTAAAATAGCCATTATACTATTGTTGAAATGTTAATACAAATAAATACGGTATTTAAAGGTATCAAGGCTGCATGTAGGTGAAAACGTACCAGTAACAACTACAATTCTAAATTCAAAGGTGAACAACTGGCCGTTTTTAGGGGGTGGGATGGCTGGATGAAAGCCCAAAGTGGGTATGATCACAGAAAGTATCTAGAGAGAGCGAGGTCACACTCCGGATATATGCTGCGTGTGCTTGCCACGCATTTGACACTCAGTAATGGCTGCACCATGCATGCCCATATAGCACTGAAATGAAACCTTAGATATATATGTGAAAATGCGACTGGTGAGAGTGCAAATTATTATGAGAGTAACAAATAGATTGGGGATGCGGGACAGCGCCCATCGAATCAAAATGTTTTTAGCAAATGTAAGCCTATAGCTGTCAAGACATAAGATTTGTGTGTGCGTGCATGGCTGCATGCGTGTGCGCGCGTGCACTTAGAGTGCGGCGTTCAATGTCACTTCCAGACGACAGTATGAAAACCGCAAATGCAAACATTGCAATGTAATCGATTTGAACTTCGATTGCCTTCTGATATCAGTGTAAGGAGAACTTCGCCCGTATATGGCATATACATGTGGCGATAGATTTGAGCACTGGTTCTTGTGGAAATGTATAGAATGATGAATTCGACAGAACTACTTCATTTTCGCGATGTTATTCTTTCTTAGGGAATGTCTCTAACAACCACATATAACGTAAATTTCTGCGTAGATCATCCTCGTCCCTGACCACATATATCCATCCATGTTAATTACTGTCAATCAGGAATATTACTGCTATCAAGAGCTTGCTGCTATATAGCTACATACATGTATATATATCAAGAGTGGATAATAGAGATCTCTATTATCCACTCTTGATATATATTGGCCACGCTTCCTCGGTTAGCGCTTGCAATACAGTCGTGCAGCGTGCTATAGTGCGCGTTGAAAGAGCAATCAATGCAGGCAGTAAGTCCATATAGCGTGTCGGCGAATCCGCGTAGAGATTTTCTTTATGGCTCTGTAGAATCCGCAAGCTTTTGTCGTGACATAGCTAGCAAATTATACTGGTGCAACGATGACGATACGTATAGTCGGCGACGAAAAATATCCGTAATCTTACTAGTTTTGTGCCAAATTCAGTGTGAAAAGGGCATGGGCCAGCACGCGGTAGGTTAGGCGCGACAAAACAAAATCGATATAGTACAGCAATAATAGGGAATCTAACGTTGAGCATTCTTGGGTGATAGGTGGCGCGGGCGTCTATTCCATGACAACGTTATAAAAGCCGCATTGTCTGTCATATTGCCTCGACAGTACACGTGTTATATTTTGCGCGTCAAATTAGCAAGTGTTTCGACTAACTGTTGGGATATTTCTGCATTACACAGGTCAATATGTTGTGTATTAGATCAGTTCGAGGTGGATGCCGTGGAAGAGAGTCAGTCCATCCGTTACTAAAGGTGATATTCATAATTTATTAACCTTATCTTCAAGTTCATGTTCACCGGTGGCAACTTAAAACTTTGGCACTACGCCGGTAATCACTAGTGACTAATAAGCGTTATTTGGTTTAGCCTAGCTCGGAAAATGGAAGTGCTTTTCAAACATATAGGGTTGTGAGTGCGTTTTTGTAATCACTAACAAATTTTGGCATTTTGCATGTACATGGTAGGCTTACACTTTTACAGTACAGTACACTACTACAGTACAGTAGGCTACATGTACATGCTACATTACTTAGAATTAGCCTGGAAGCTCCGGAACAAAATCTCCCGGTAAAGTGAAATTACCGGTGGGAAACTATCCAAAATAAAAATGGAAACACCGATCTAAAGGTTCCCGTTCATACATACATACATACATACATATGATATACATACACCACGCCGCATGATGTTTGCACAGCACGCATCGCTGAACGCACAGGCACTTGGAAGTGGGCGCGTTTCAATAAAATATACGCAGTGGCTGGAGGTACGGCAGCCGTCGTTCGTTGAAGCCCCTTTTTGGTGTTAGGGTTAGGGTTAGGTTTAGGGTTCTAGCTCATCT